ACCAAATTCATATAAGATGTGGTCATCATTGGGATGATTGAGAGTAAACTGCAATCTCCGAGAAGTGAGAGTCGAGTGAATCGAGTGCTGTATTGCTGTCAATGAGAGTCGATAGCAATGAATGAGAAGTGGAGTGAAGTGAGAGAGCAATGGGACGACGACTGCACTCAACACTCATTTGCCTTCAAATCACACATTAGTCTAAGTGTTGATCAATTGATTGCATCTTTAGACACAATTGGCACACAATTACTAAATGACAGCATATATGGGGACACAGGGATTGGATTAGGGACCAAATGTGGTGACAATGAGAAGATGGTTTGAATGAGTGGTTGTATGCTTTGGTATAACTGAATGGCAATGCATTTGCAATGTATGTCAAAAATGGCCGCAAAACCTATGTTTGTGCTCTTCTATTGTCACTTAAAGTTAATTTTACACACAATTAGCACTCTTATGGACCCAATGAGTGGTCATAACATAAGATCAGACATCGCTTGACATAAATAACAAACACTTACCACTAATTCAATTGAATTTATGTCCGATTTTGACGAGACTTTGGGAATGGGATGACGAGCGAGTGGTTGGGAATGAGATTAAATTGGATTAAAGAGCACTTAATGGTCACTAATTGCACTCATTTTGGTATCCAATTGAAGAACGATTGTCGGCCCACACTTTGAACACATTGACGACTCGGATCAGTTGGGGTGATGTCTTGAAAACATGAGATAATTGTTGTACGAAAACACAAATCCAAGAGAAGTGTTGAACAAATCGAGAGTTTGGAGAGATTTGAGTGAATGAGTTCTCGTAGAGTTCGCGCCCGACCTATATATAGACTCCACTAAGCAAAGCACTCTCAGTCCACACACAACACACATACCACAGACACTACACTTGCTGTCAGTCAGACTCGAGTCAGTGATTGAAATCCAGTTTAGATTGAAATCCATTGCTGTTTGTTAAGAGTATATCACTACCAATGAGTGAAACACAGACTGCAGGCGCGGCCGCCACTCCCGCCGCCAAGGCTTCGGCCAAGAAGAAGACCACCAAAGCCTCGTCGGCCAAGAAGGCGAAGGCGCCATCAAACCACCCGAAGTACGTGGATATGGCTATCAGTGCCATCAAAGCACTCAAAGAGCGCAACGGATCCAGTCGTCAGGCGGTCCACAAGTAATTATTGTCTCACTTATCCCTCCATTGCCTCAAACCTATTGTCTGAACACAGTTTCATCACTTTATTTATTAGTTTCAAACTTTGCATTTGTTTTTCATGACGTTTACTGTATGTCTAACCCATGCTAACTGTATGCTTGTATGTCAGGTACATATTGGGTCACTTCAGTGTGGGAACTGATGTGAAAGCCGTCAACTCTCACCTGAAACAGGCCCTCAAGAGGGGTGTGGCCAGCGGTGCACTGAAGCACGTGAAGGGTCAGGGGGCGTCCGGGTCTTTCAAACTGGCCGAAGCAACTGCTGCTAAGAAACCCGCGGCTAAGAAACCAAAGGCCGCCTCAAAACCAAAGGGCGAGAAGAAGGCAAAGAAGGCCTCAAATCCCAAACCCAAGAAGTCTTCGCCTAAGAAAGCGGCCAAACCTAAGAAGGCGGCCGCCAAGAAGGCCGCGGCGCCCGCAGCCGCTTCTGCCGCACCCGCAGCTGCCGCTCCTAAGGCCGCGGCGC